AAGTAGCTGCAGCGAGCGACTGGTCCTGGGGTGCTTGCACCGGAGCTGGGGGGCTGCAGGCAGCAAGGGGGGCGAGGCGGGGTGCATGCCAGGGATAGGAGCATTGCCCACAGGGTGGGCACAGTGTGCATGGCCATGGTGGGCAGGGGCATGGCTTGTCTGCCATGTAGAAAGGGGGATCATGCTCCCGAATTCATGATGCTGGAGTACATCACAGCCTCTCAGTGGGGCTGGGGGACCTGCCAGCATCCTCCCAGGGGGCTGGGGGATGTCAGTGGTGTTACTGGTACCCCGAGGGACGAGTGCTCCTGGTCCTTGCTGGAGGCAGCGGGCAGCCTGCAGGCTCAGGGTGCCCCAGGGGTGGGGTGAGCGGTGCCTGTGGATGTTGGGGTGTTGGGGCAGCCATGGGAGGCCTGGGAGAGATGCGCTGCAGAGCCAGGCTGTCGGGAGGGCTGCCTGTCGAGGGATGCATCCTGGCCAAAAGACAAGGAAAGCAAGGTAGGGGCCCTGGGGCGAGGCCTGGAAACCTTCCTGCAGCAGGAGGGTGACACATGGCTCCTGGGCAGCGTGTCCTCTTGGCTTGAGACTGGTGAGCGGCTGGAGCATCTTTCGTACGGGGAGAGGCTGGGAGAACTGGGGCTGTTCAGCCTGGAGGGGAGGCTGGGCCGGGGGGGTCCTCAGCGATGTGGATAGATATCTGAAGGGGAGGGTGTAGCAAAGACGGAACTGGGCTCTTTTCGGTAGTGTCTCCCAGTGGGACAATGGACGCAGATGAAAAAATAGGAAATTGCATCTGAACACAAGAAAACACATTTTCTACTGTGAGATTGGTGAAACGCTGTCATGGGCTGCCCAGGGAGGCTGTGGAGTCTCCATGGATGGAGTATCTCCATGATCCTGAGCAGCTCCAGGTGACCCCCCACCGGGCTCCATCCCGGAGCTCCCTGCCAGCCCCAGCCACGCCGCGGCCAGATGACACCAAAGCCCATCTCCACCCCAGCTGTGCCCCGCATTGCTCCCAGTCTGGTGGCACGTGGCCTGTTGGGGGCTGGCGAGGGGACCGGCTGGTCACTGGGTCATCCCCACAATGGGACCGTGCCACGGGGCACAGTGACGCTGCCTGGGACATCCCTGCTGAGGAGGCTGCAGCCAGGCAGGGGAGGCTGGGCTTGCTCTGTTAATCAGGCCTTGCTGAGCTGCTGCCTGGGGTGTAAAGATAGCCCCAGTGTCGCCAGCCGGATGTTTGTGAGGTTTCTCAGACGCGCTGCCCTCTCCCCGCTCACATTTTCCATTATGCAAGTGCTGCTCTTGCCCATCAGCAGCTGGGCAGGGTGGGAGACCTGCGGCAGTGCCCGCCGGTACCCGGACACGAGGGGTGGCGGGGGGGGGACCGGCATGAGGTGGGTTGGCACAGGATGCCTGCTGGCGGGATGCTTGGGGACCGGTGTGGCTGTAGATAGGGAAGCATGAGCTACTTTCTTAAAAAACAGCTGAAGGTTGTGACTGTTGGAGGAGAAGGTTGTAGGGGGATCACCCTTCTTCTTGGGGCTTCTTGCCTCATTCCTCTCCTCCCTGTTAACCCTCCATCCCCTTTTGGTGGCCTGAGCAGTGCCTCATAGCATCACGTAATGGCATATCAGGATCAGCGTCGGATTCTCCTTTCAAGAATCCCCCCAGCACTGGGAAGAGGGGGATCTGGGGTCCTGCAATGGCAGCAGGCTGCATCCTCTGGGAGCGCAGATGCAGTTGAGCCTATGGGGCTGTGGTCCCCCCCTGGGCACCGAGCCCCCGGGCTGCCCTGTGCCGGAAGAGCTCTGCCATATCTCAGAGCCTGATAAGGTTTCTAACCGACTCCAGCCCGCAGAGTGCCCAGCAGATGCTGGTGGCCCCATGGCCAGGCTGTTTGCAGGGCTGCCGGCTCTCCCCCACGGTGCCAGCACCCACTGGCTCAGGAGGGGGGTGAGCCCTGGCCCGACCGGACCCAGCGGGCTGCTGCATTTGGAGGAGGGCGGGTGCGCGGGATGATGCTGGTGCAATGCAGGTCGGTGCGTTGGCGGGTGTTCGGTCCCCTCTCCTCCTCCCTGGGCAAGGCATCGTGTCCCTGCGCAGCCAAGCAGATCCTGTCAGGAGCGGTGTAGGGCTGCAGCCAGTGTGGTGCCCACCAGCCATATGTGCCAGCATTCCTGAGTAACTCAGCCTTCCCGGCTCTTCTCTAGCAGCTCCTTCGCTGCCCAAGCTGATCCCAGCAGGAAAACCCTCCCGCCCCTGCTGTGGTCAAACCTGGCCGTGTGACGGGCTCTTCCCGGGGATGGCAGAGCTGCGGGAGTGGGGTGGGGGTTCACAGTGGCATCGGGGGCTCTGCCTTAGGGCTGAGGGAAGAGCTGGCATTTCGGGGTGCCCTGCTGGGGTGTGGTCCCGGAGGGTCCCCCGGGCCGTGCTTTGAGCCCCCTTGCCTGTGCCGAGCCCGTGGCAGGATGGCCCCTGGGCACCAGCCCGGTCCTCGTGGGGCACATTGCTGGTGGCCGGCCATCCTCCCAGGGCTATTTTTAGCTGTGTCCCCTCCAAGGCCCCAGTGCCACTTGCCCTCTGCTGGCTGTGGCTGAGCCGGAGGTGGCAGTTTCTCCACAGAATCCGGGTGGTTTTGTTCTTGCCTTTGCCTCCTCGCCTTGTGTCTCCGGCACCCCCCTGGTGCCAGGCACATCCCGGGTAATGCTAAGCCCCCCGGGCTGGAAAGAGCAAGGGGGGTTCCCGAGATGGGGCAGGGGAGGGCTGGGCAGAGCCCTGCGGAGGGGAGCTGGCCTCGGGCTGGTGGCTGGGCACATCGCCCTGGGCATCGGCATGCTGCGTCACCACCTCTAGTGCAGGGACAGAGCCAGCGCTGGCTCCACTATGGCTCCCTGCAGTGCTGGGGGAGCTTGCCAGCCAGAAAAGCTGTGGTTGGGGTGAGCGGAGGGGCCAGGGCTCGATTTGGGGTGTGGGTGGCGCCCGCCGCTTGGGGCTGTACAGTGGCTGTCAGTGTCCCTGAAAGCCCTCTGGGAGGAGGAGGCAGCCCCTACCCTGTGCAGTGGGCACACGGCTCCTGCTCCTGGGAGCTATAGGGTACCTAATAGCCGCTTGCTATAGGGCACTGTATTGCTGTGGTGGCCCTGGAGCCCTGTCGGGGGCTGCGGGGGAGCCAGCACGGCAGGGGTGATGCCACCCCGGCACATCGAGTGCCGGCCTTTGCCCTCCCCACCTCTTTCCTGTGTGCAAAGGGGAAACAACGGGCACGCTAAATGCTGCCCGCTGCGGCACAGCTTCCTGCTGCATGGCCGGGTCTGCTGGTGGCCTTGGACATTGGGTTCCTCCCAGTTCTCCTCCTGTCTCCGGTGCCAAATGCAGGGGTCCAAAGCCACTGAGCCACTGGGGAGCTGCTCCCAGCACAGGCTGGAACCGGTGCTCCTGGCTGAGACCCACGGACAAAAAATTGGGTGTGTGAGGGTGGCTCACCCCAATGAGACCCTGAAACAGCCCCCTGGCACCCTGGACAGAGTGACTCGTGTGCCTGCCCAGGCAGTGTGGTACAGCCGGGCTCCATGGCTCATTTCAGAGAGGGGACCTGCCTCATTTTCCCCAGGGAAAGGGCTGGCTGGCCGGCCACACGCTGGCCACACCGGCACCGCCTGAACCTGTGCCCCATCATGTCAGCGCTGAGGGTGACGGAGCCTGGATGGGCAGCCGTGGGCATGAGGGGTTGTGGGGCAAGATGCTGTGCATGGCAGGGGAGAGGACTTGGGCTTTGCTGCCATGCCTGGGGCACCCCGGGCATGTTTTGGGAAGCACCCAAGGGTGGACGTGAGGAGAGGTGCCCCCCAAGCTTCTCTGCACTAGCTTTGCCACCCTACGCTGGGATGCTGGTGATGGAGTTAGTCTGCAGCGGGGGGAAACTGAGGCACGCCCCCCCCTTCCCATAGCCATGGCCTTGTGGGTGTCGTAAAACTCTTGTGGGTGTCATAAAACTCTTATGGGTGACATGGTGGAGGTGGTGGGGGCTCTGCCTTTCGGGCTTTGCCCTAGCCTGTGGCTGGCACAGTGCTGGCAGCTACATCGCCGTCCCCAAAATGGCTGGGACTGTGACATCCTGGGGCCGGGCGATGGCTTGTTGCCTCTGGCTGCCAGGAGAAATTGCTTCAGCGGCCACAGCGACGTGGCTGGGGGGGTTTCAGGAAGAGATGCCGTCCCCCCGGGCAGCCTTCCTGGCCCAGTCATGCCAACACGGTGTCCCTGGAGCCAGGCAGAGCTGAGCACCTGCGCCCCGCTGCAGCACCGGCTCTGGCCCCTGCTGTGGTGGCCCCGAGCCACTGTCACGGACCTTCTTCCTTCTCCTTGTCATCACATTGTCCTGCTCCTCGCCATCACGGGCTCCCCCATGCTGCTCCGTGCTGTCACACGCTGCCTGTCCTTGTCAGCGAAAGCAATGATTGCAGCAAACCCAGAGCCTGTGCCTGCAGCCACCACATCCAAACAGGTGTGGTGGAAGTGGCGTTTGTGGCCAGATCCCAGCTGGCCATGGCAGGACCCTGCCCTGTGCCCCGCCAACGTGGGGCAGGGGCTGCTGGGGACCATGGTTTGTTGGTGGATTTGGGGGTCGCAGCTGGACCCCCCCGAAAGCTCGCGCTGCCCTTGCTGGCTGTGCCGCAGCCTGGGCTTAGGGCAGCCCTGGGCTCACCATCTCCTCAGTGTGCTCTCGCAGCCGAGACCCGGGGGAGGGGATGTGGTAGGTCCCTGGCTGATGGCACTGGGGACACCACGGCTGTCTGGACCCGCACTGACACTCGCCAGCAGTGTGGGGACCAACCACAGCCAAACCCTGCTGCAGTCCTGGAGAGACAAAGCATTGATAGGAAGCGATAAAGGCTTAAAACATCCTCCTCCAAATGCAGGGCTGCAAGCTGGGAGACAGCTGGGGACATCCTGGTGTGTGCCCTGGGGGGCTCAGGGAGGGGCCAGGCATTTGGGGAGTTTGAGGCTCGGGGAGCACCCCAGGTGAGGTTTGGGCTTCTTTGTGACCTCCTGCTACTCCTGGTGCTCCAGCCATCTCGTTCGGAGCTGTGGGGCAGCTGTGGGTTAATGCCAAGGCCAGGGAATGGTGCGTCTGCATGCTGGCTGGTGCCTGGGTGCCACCGCTTGCAGCACACGGGCTGGGCACAGGAGCGTGGAGCCCCGGGGCCACGGTTCTCTTACGATAGGATACCCTCAGTGCCTGGTGCTAATTTGCCGTTAAATGTGCCTTGTCGTGGTGTGCCGGCATCTGAGACAACTGCTGTTGCGGCTAATTGCAGAGGAGCAGCTGAATGGGGCTGCCGGCAGTGTTTAAAGAAGATACAATCAAAGATTAGGCAGTGCCAGAGCATCTCTGCCACCCTGCTCGGCGCAGACTCGTAGCTGCGTTGCAAACACTAATTAATTGAGCCTTGTAAACACCACTGCGAGGAGGGTAAATATTGGCAGGTGCCACAGATCGGGGAGGGCAGAGGATGGGCGGCTGGGCTGCAGGGATGTGCTGCGCTGTGCTGCAAAGGAGATGCTCTGCCAGCCATGGGCTGCCCGTGGCCCCGGGTTGTCCCCTCCAGGGCCACAGTGCCCAGGTAATGCCACCTCTGAGACACCATCCCGGTGGCTCCGGGGCATCGGTGTCCCCTCCAAGGGAGCTCTCCTGGCTCCAGCTCTGCCCTTGGCTTCCAGGGAGCTGCAGCAGGTTGAGGCTGTCCTGGGCACTGGCGACCAGCAGCAGTGGCTCTGTGCTGCTGGAGACCTCCAAACGTCTGCCGTGCCCGGCAGCTTCCCCTTGAATCACATGAAGTGCCCAATGCCCAGGGCATGGCGGGCAATGGACATCATTTACCCTGCTATGTCCAGCACAGTGTGAAGCCCAGAATGTCCCATCTGTGCTCTGGGCACTGCTTAGCTCCTGGGGACCCATGGACCAGTGTCACTCGTGGAGTGGGGTGACTTTGGGGGTCCTGGGGGCTGAGGGAGCTCACAACCCTGGGGTTTCTGCAGAAGAGCGTGAAGGAGGGGCTGTTGCTGAAGCAGACGAGCTCCTTCCAGAGGTGGAAGAGGCGATACTTCAAGCTGCGGGGCAGGACACTCTATTACGCCAAGGATGCCAAGGTAGGCTGGGAGAGGGGGCTTGCAGCACCCTCAGCCTCGGGGCGCTTGAGCCTGCAAGCCCGCGGAGGAACCTGAAATCCCTGCCTGGTGGACTGGGGCTCTGGTTTCTCCCTCACAGTCCCTGATCTTCGATGAGGTGGACCTGTCTGATGCCAGTGTGGCCGAGACCAGCACCAAGAACATCAACAACAGTTTCACGGTGAGGGAGGTGTGGGGTGACCTGCCATGCCCCTCCACCTCGGCACCTGACGGGGGCCACCCCAGACCCCTTCGCTCCCCACAGAGCTGTGGGGCACTCCTCAGCATGGCCTGATGCGTCCGGAGGTAGCACCGGAGCCAGGCTTTGCTGGAGGCTGCTCTCCTGGGGGTCTGGCTGGCCATGGGGTGGCCTTGCAAGGGGACACGGGGATGGTGGCTGTTGCAGGTGATCACGCCATTCCGGAAGCTCATCCTGTGTGCGGAGAATCGGAAGGAGATGGAGGACTGGATCAGTGCTCTGAAATCTGTCCAGAAGTGGGAGATCCATGAGGTGACGCAGGCGGGGGGCTGCGAGTGAGTGGGTTCCCCTCTGGCAGTGGGGTTCCCCACTGGGGGTGCCTTTGGCTGCCGGGCAGGAGCTGCTGCCTCTGGCGCAGCCTACAGGAGCTGGGAGCGGAGCCAGGGGACGCAGGGGAGCCAGGAGAGCACGAGTGCCAGCTGGGGGTCCCGGGGGACTGACGGGGCAGGGCTGTGCCCCCCAGCAGGCCACGCAGTTCAACATGGAGCACTTCTCGGGCATGCACAACTGGTACGCCTGCTCCCACGCCCGCCCCACCTTCTGCAACGTGTGCCGCGAAGCCCTCCCGGGGGTCACCTCCCACGGCCTCTCCTGCGAAGGTCAGCACCGGGGTCCTGCTGGGGAGTGGGCTGGGGGACCCTCTGCGAGGCTGGTGTGCAGCAGGAGGGATGCAGGGTGATGGCCACCAGCTGCGGGGACAGCACTGTCACCAGTGGTGGAGGGGTTGGGGACTGGGGCTGCGTGTCCCATGGGGACCGTCCCTGCTCCTCACCTGCTCCCCCCCACCGCGCAGTCTGCAAGTTCAAGGCACACAAGCGCTGCGCCGTCAGAGCCACCAACAACTGCAAGTGGACGACTCTGGCCTCCATCGGCACTGAAATCATCGAGGATGAGGATGGGGTAAGCAGGGGAGTCCCTGTGGGGGGAGCCTGGCAGGACAGAGCCACGAGCAGAGCTGTCCCCTGTACTGTGTGGCCTCCGGGCTTGGCTCTGCGGGGAGGTAGCCTGGGGACACCTCCTCTGCCTCCCGGCATCAGGATCCCTTATTGCTGTCCAAGTGGGGCCACCCCCAGACATTTGCTGGGGACACCCCTGCCCTGCCCTGTGCACTGGTGGCTGCAAGGGGCCAGGCAGGCAGGGATGAGGGGGCACGGAGGAGTCCCAGGGGTGCCTTGCCCTGCCGTGGGGCATCATCCCCTGCCCACCTCTTCCATGGTACCTGGGGAAGGGGGTGGCCTGTGTCCCTCAAGCGTGTCGGGGCAGCAGGGGTGATGGGCCGTTGGCGACTGCCCCTCTCCGCAGGTGGCCATGCCCCACCAGTGGCTGGAGGGGAACCTGCCTGTCAGCGCGCGCTGCGCCGTCTGCGACCGGACCTGCGGCAGCGTCCGGAGGCTGCAGGACTGGCGGTGTCTCTGGTGCAAGGCCATTGTAAGGATGTCTCTGTCCCTGTCCCCCCCGCCCACGGCACAGGCAGCAGTGCCCCTCCTGGGTGCAGTGCTGGGGAAACTGAGGCTGGGGGCTTTGGTGCTGCGTCCCCTAGCTTTGCCTATGAATGTGTCCCTGTGTCCCCAGGTTCACAGTGCCTGCAAGGAGCTCTTTGGCAAGAGGTGCCCCCTGGGCCAGTACAAAGTGTCCATCATCCCGCCAACCGCCTTGAACAGCATCGATTCAGATGGTGAGCCATGGAGGGGACAGGGCTGGGCTGTGGGTTGGGGGACAGGCTGTTCGGGACAGGGTTCTGAGCTCTCTGAGCTCCTCTGCAGGCTTTCACTTGTGGTACTGTGCCCAGTTTCCATGGGGCACCAGGAACACCACCGTCAGTAGGTTCCAGGGTCAATGCCCCTCTCTGCCGCACTGTGGGTTGAAGGATGCTTGTTGCCTTGTGCTCTGCCCCAGGGCTATGGTGGTGCCATGCTTTGGGGTGGCACTTCTTCCCCGCCTGTGGCTTCAGTTGCTCCTGCCAGGCTGCCTCTTGCGGTGGCCCTGGTCATGGTCCCTCCGTGCTGGGGTCAGCGGCGCCAGCTCTGAACCCCTGATGTGGGGTTCCCCCTGTTGCACCGCAATGGTTCAGCACCCTGCAGGGCAGGACGAGGCCCTTGCTTGGGTTTTTTCTCAGTGTCTGAACCTCAGCTGGCTTTTTGGCAGTGCAGAGCACAGCTTCCCCCTGATGTGGGTGGCTGCAGGGTGCTGGGGGGAGAAGCAATGTGCGGCCCAGGGGGAGCCCCCACCATCTCCCTTGCCCTCTCCGGAGGGGCCCAGCTGGTCTCTGCTGAGCAAAATCTGTTCTTCTCCTCCGGATATTTCTTTCCTCGTTCTTTAATGATTTTCACTGCTCAGCTCAGCTGGTGGCTCATCTGCTTCTCGTTACTCATCGGGATGCTGTCAGGGTAACCATCACGCGGCTTCTCCTCCGGCTTCCGAGCTGTGGTTGCTCGCGGCTGGCTCCCTGGTAGCATATCTGCCCTGTCCCTTGTGCGGCATCCCAGACAACCGAGGCCGGCGTGGCTGAGGGGCTGGTGGCTGTGACTGCTGCTGAGCCCAGCTGGGCTCTGCTACTGCGGGAAGCAGCCTGGCGAGGCCTCAGCCCCCCCTCCTCCTGCTGCACTGTCCCCCCACGGCGGACAGGTGCCGCTGGCAGCGGGCTCTTCCGCGGCAGCCCACGCTCTGACTCAGCAGCCCCTGGTGTTTTGCTTTGCTGATCTGCTCTGCTCAGCTGGGTTGGGAGTGGAGATCGAGTGATGCCGGGCCGGGCAGTGGTGGACTGTGGGGATGCTGCTCCCCGTGCGGCAGAGGCACTGGGGCTCCCGGTCACACCCTGCAGG